GTTTTGTCGATGTATGATTTGCTGGGTCTTTTATAATACTAATTGCCCCCTTATTATCACACCAACACATGATCGCCTGTGTTTGCTTAAATCCCAATTCCTCTAATAGTACCCACAACCATTCGCTTTCTTTAATACCTTCACTCGCGGCTATTAATTCAGCCTGCGCTGTATGGAGGCTCACAGTACTTTGTCTTAAGCTTTTCCAAGTAATACATGCGTCTGCCATAATACTCACATACCCAGTTACTGACTTTCGGTTTTCATTAGCATTCGCGAAGCTCGCGTCTGTGTACAGCTCATATATCACTTCCTTACTTTTCCCGTCCAATACGAGTCCGTACGTCGACGTCCCTTTCAGATACTTTAGTACTCTCTGGGCTGCCTTGTAATGGCTCTTATTATAGCATGACATGAATTTACTTAATTCTCTGATAGCATTTGCTATATCTGGGTGTGTAACACGTACAAGGTACATCAGTGACCCCACTAAACCTCTGTAATCGAATGGTTGTGCTAAGATTTCCTCTGGACTTATTTTTCCTCTTTCTCAAGTACTATACTCTTTGCCTGTGGTGTTGGTTCTGAGTTACAATCAGTCATATCGAACTTTTGTAGTAAGTCCGCTATATACTTGTGTTGAGACATACTCAGAGTCATATTTGCCCTATCCCTCTTAATCTCCATCTTCAGTAGATAATGGATATCACCTAGGTCCTTCATAGTTAATCTAGAAGCCAGTTGGCCCTTCACCTTTTGCATCAATGTCATACTACTAGATGCGATAGTAATATCATCCACGTAGACGCAGACAAGTACTATATGCATTACGCCTTTTACCTCCCACTTTTGACGGTACACACAGTACTCCTTTTTGCACCGACAAAACCCTAGGCTTACCAGGAACTTATTGAGGAGTGGATACCAGATGCGAGGTGCCTGTTTGAGTCCATATAGGCTTTTTTTCACTTTGCACACACTGGACGCATCCCCATGCCTAAACCAATGAGGTTGTTGCATGTAAATATCCTCAAACAGCGATCCGTTTAGGAAGGCCGTTGCAACATCCATTTGATGGACATGAAGGTCCTTCATAAGTGCTATTGCCAGTAGTAATCTCAACGAGTCATACCGCGCCACCGGTGAAAATATCTCATTGTAATCAACACCGTGGGTTTGTGTGTTGCCCCTAACAACCAATCTTGCCTTAAATCTATCGACTGTTCCATCTGGGTTATACTTTACGTCAAATACCCAGTGACAACCTAGTATTTTCCTTCCTTTTGGCAGTGGTACTATTTCCCAAGTACTATTTGCAACTAGTGCCTGAAATTCAGCTTGCAGCGCAGTATCCCACTGCTGAGCGTGTGGGCCCCGTCTCGCTTCTTTTATTGATCGTGGAATCGGTATCACTTTTGTGCTAATTGTGACAGCATTGATTGATACTAAATAGTCCTTTAACCGAGAATTTGGTGTCCTTTGCCTACGACTGCGAGGTATAGGTGGCACAGAAACTCGCTGTTTCTTTACTCCCACTGTTTCAGTATCCGTTGCACACTCTTCCAACTCAGAATTAGATTTTGGTCGCTTGTTAGACACATCCAGCCCCGTTTCTCGTTTTCTTTTCCCATTTTCCCCTTCTAGGACCATTTCCGTATCTTTCCTCAATTTTCGCGGACGGGAACGATCGTAAAATCAGTCCCTCAGTAAATGTTGGCCCAAATCTTACATCTCGAGCATTAATGTACCTATTACCTTTAATATCGAGTAGACGATACCCTTTGTAATCTTCAGAAAGCCCGAGCAGTTTGCACTCTAGCGCCCGCTCACTAAGCTTCGGATTGGCTCGTTTAGATTTTAGTATATGGGCGTAGCACGTACCGCCCCATATTTGAAGCTCAATCCCTGTTGGTTTGGTGCCAAACAGTGCTTCGTATGGACTTTTACCCTTAAGCCGGGCTGTTGGTATCCTATTAGTTATTGCTGTCATATATATTAATGCCTCTGGCCACCATTTAGCAGCCATACCCGATCCTATTAAAGCGCATCTAACTTTACCCATTATTGTCTGGTGAGCTCGCTCAGCAGTCCCATTTTCCTCTTGAGACTCCACATTTGACTTTTGGAACACGATCCCACTTTTATCGCAGTACCCTTTTAAGAATTCGTTGACAAATTCTGTACCCCCGTCGGTCCTTATCCGTTTTACCTTGTATGGAAATAGTTTCTCCAGCTGCTTAATAAGGGTTTTAACAATAACCCCAACCTCTTTCAGAGACTTCAGAACGAAATACCATTTATAAGCAGTGGCATCATCTAGTATTGCTAGAGCATACTTGTGCCCGGTAGTATTATAGAGGCCATGTGGTCTTATTTTTCCCAATGAGTCCATATGCAATGTGTGCAAAGGCTCAGATACCTTATCTGTCACCTTATTCCTATAAGACATTCGCCGTGATTTTGCCAGCACACATGTACGACAGAAAAATGATACCAGTTCCATTTTCATTCTAGATAACTGAGGTGCATCTCTGATTACTCTGCCAGCCAGAATGTTCATCAGTCTGCCTTTACCGACATGACCTAGCTTCAGGTGCCACTCCTTCAACGTCTTTTGTATCTTCGATCGAGAAGTACTATCGACGTATAGTACTCTTGAATTATTATTCAGTTTCCTACTCGGTAAATAGTATACCTCATCTATTGCAGCTGCAGCAAATATGAATCGGTTTTTACTATCAAGGAAGTACAAAGACTGCCCACCTTTTGACTGAATGTGGTGATACCCTTGTGTGGCAGGATAATATGCACTAAGCAAGTTACTACCGCACTCTTTATCAAAGGCAACATTTTGTATTGAGATATTACTATAGTACCCTCTGGGTTTGAGAATACTACATCTCACTGTCCCTTGGAGCTTGGTTGACGAGGTGCCTCCGTTTCCATATTCAAAGATATGAGTCCGTCCTTTGCCAAGCTGGCTGAACCACCTTCTATCCGAACTTATAGCGTGTCCAGCTCCTGTATCAACCACCCATAGATTATCAGTCAGGTTCAACTCCCTCAATTTAGAAAGATACTCAGGGTATCTCCTCCGTACCTCATCATCAATCTCCATTAAGTGCATCGGTGCCTCATCTTCGCTTCCTTCACTCGCTGGAACACTCCACTTGTACTCAAGTTCGTCGGCATCCTCAATTGCCTTGTTCAAATTGAGGCCGAACTTGGCAGCTTGAGCTGGGGTCCTTTCTTCGTCTTGGTTCACCTTCACCCTCTTGGTAGTCGACTTGCCCCCCTTCTTGACCGTCATCGCTCGCTTCGTTTCGGTGACAGGAGCCGCCCGTATGTTTGAGCGAAGCAGCTTGCCTCCAGCCCTTTTCGGGTTGCGGTCAGCCGCCATCACTGGGCAGGCCTTCTTCCAGTGGATATCTTTAAAGCAGTAATAACACTCGCTTACTGCCACTTCAGAGGATTGTCCCTGGTTCCTTTTCTTCCCCGTAAACTTTCTTGCCGCATTGACAGTCACTGGGCGTCTCTTATCAGTCAGCATCGTGGCTTCCTTTCTCGATCGATCACCGAAAACGCGGCGAAGACTCGTCTCCACGTTCTCAATAGAAAAACCACTCTTCAGTCATGATGACTGTGCCTCCCCAAAACTCGCTAGGTAGTAACGCCAACACTTCCATGCACAGCCAGGTCTCGGTCACCATGTCCTTGCCAACCAGACCCCTCATCTTCCTGTTAATGTCGTTACGCAGCTTCTTTAACTGGGCTAATGGGCCCCCAGATTCGTCCGGTTCGCTGCGAGAAGACGCTCCCACTGGCGGCGCAGCTCGATTACGCCTCCTGCATCCCCATGCCCGTACTTTTGCTCGTGCTTCTTCCATATGTCACAGGGGTTCTTTTTGGACCCTTGACCCGGCAGCCCACTCAAGGAAACGTTAGGCAACGCTTGGTTGAATAAACTCAACAGCTCGGACCGAGCCCTAGTCCAGTGTTTGTGGCGCCAACGCTTGGCCTTCGCCTCCTCTTGAGAAATATTTCCCTCCACCGAAATAATGGGTTTCTCAGGCGTACCCTTAAGGAAGTCCATCATGACAACCGTAGCCTCAGGTTGGTCCTTTTCCAACAACCCTCGCTGGTATTTCTCATCCAGCGTCTCTATGTGCGTTAGCACCTTGTCTCGCCACATGGTATAGTCCTCCCCATGGAACTTTTCCAGTCCCAGGACCTGGGCACCCCTATTGTGTCCTTTAACCATGAGCCTTAGTCTCCGTACGTATCTGAAATATTAAGCCCTATGTAATAGGCCGTCAGTTTCAAAAAGGAGGCCTTTCAAAGCGGGCGCGCCACGCGTCCTTCCTCGCCATTAACATCCCTCGGCAATGTGTTTACTTATTAAGCTTCCTTAAGAAGTAGGATGTTTGAACCTTTTCTATTGGCTACATATTTGACCAATTAAGGTGCATTTTAACAGCTAGACAGCCGCGGACTCCACGTTTCACACGACGTCGAACATCACCCCGAGCTGTATCTCCTGTTGGTCAACCTGAGCAGCAGATACCAGCATCCCCAGCGGACGCTACTTCGCATCAATATCAGCTTGTGGTTCAACCTAAGTTGCAGCTGGTGAGTTTTGACCAATCATATCTAAGTGTTGATTTTTCAGACTATCCGTCAATCACCCTCGGTATCCAATTTTCACTGGAATTGACAATATTACCCCTGAACTTCAATCGACGGCGCTGGAGTAAGTGGCATCGGTCGCCATCGGCAAAATGCTCTGCTGTGATCTCGTCGAAATGAATGCTCTGCAACTGGACGTTGTCGCTTTGGTGGCCTTGGTCCGTTCGCCATTTCCTGTGCTCACTTTCCAATTCTTCGTCTCGGACACAAACCCGTCTTCTCCACGACGACTTCTGTCGCCTTCAATTCCACGCTCGGACACAAACCCGTCTTCTCCACGACGACTTCTGTCGCCTTCAATTCCACGTATCGAATTAATTGTTTTCGCCTTCGATATATATGACCGTATCAAAGTTATAGCGCATCTGTCCTTTAACGCTATCGAAAAATAGCATTTGACCCTTTCTGCGAGCAATTGCGTGATTCCATCTTCGCTTAATCCAGGGATGTTTAAGTCAGTAATCAGTAGCTTTAGATCTCGACGGGAATTCGCGCGAAGTATCGCTACGTATTAAGCGAATCATTTTATCAGTCTGTGGGATAGAAAAATGGTACTAAGCTTGACATGTCTACCTCGAGTGAAGTAATGGCTAAACACATTCTTCTGGAGCCCCTTATCATTGCTATAGTCGTCGATGATGACAAGCTCTGGTTTATCCCCCGGAGTACGTCTGCTAGATCTACCTGAGGCGGATGCTCGTGGAAAGTGATGAATCCCTTAAGCTTATCGCGGAGATAGTCGTACAGCCCTTGATGCGGATTGCGTGCGATGATCTGGAGATGTGCAAATACGTGAGGAGAATGCTTGAGAATATGAAAAACAAGGTTGTTCTTGCCTGAGAAACTCGGACCAAGGATAACCACTCTAACCAACTTCTTAATCCCTAATTCTGATATAGTTCCGACTGAATCACCCCGATACTTTTTGGGTAGTGATCCACCATAATCAGGAATGCTCATGATCTGAACGAAGTTTGGGTGGCGCAAGCACGCGAACAAGTTCACTTAGCTTGCTAGCTAAATATAGCTAGACTTATATATGCTAGAAGAAAGAGTAAGCAAGCTCGCTTTTCGTGCTTGCGCCCATCAATCATCGATTTGATGTCTGGACTTATCTATCCACCACCAACGTTCATTTCTTCATGCTACAACCCAGCATTTTACCTCTCCCTCGATCAGACAGGATACTTGACATATGCGTATGCCCAAACATTATATCCAGGTATCAGTGACTATCGTCTGTCATACATCACTGGCATCACCCCTGGTACTGCTACACCAGGTATAGCTCTTGTCGTAGCTTTTGATGCGTCTCTTAGCGGATTAGGAGCACTGAGTTCGTCTTTAACTATTGGCGGTTCTGCTGTATCAGCACCCCCCCCAGCTATGTTCTTGGAATCACTGGCGGCACTGCCGCTGTTAACAAAGCGTTTGTGCTTAATGGAACAGGCGATATCAGCGGTATCAATAGTTTATCAGCAACTTCGCTAACAGGCACAATCCAAACCGCGGCTCAGCCCAATATCACAAGTGTTGGTACGCTTAGCTCACTAACCGTGAGTGGGTTCATTACATGTTCGGGAATCAGTGAATTAATCTCGATATCAGTATCAAGTATTACTGGTACGCTACAGACAGCAGCCCAGCCCAATATTACCAGGTAATATTGGATCCTTGCCTTCACTTAATGTTAGTGGTACTACGTCTGGTAGTAGCTACACCATTTCTGGTAATGTTACACTTACAGGAGCATCTGGCACTATAACAGTTAATAATACCACCTCTAATAGTATTAATAGTACATGCAGTTATTCAGGAACAATGACCATTTCTGCAACAGCTCTAAATCTTAATGTGTAGGCAAACGCACAGCCTACATTGCATCTCCAGATGCAACGAGGCTATCTGGAACTCAGACGACAACCACAACCATGGCGAGAACTGCAACCCCTGACGCCGGGCGCTCGGAGCCAGCCAATGCCAGCACTAGAAGCAAGCAGGGTGTTAGGTAGTTGTAGCTAGCTCGTATCAATCTCACAATTGCATTTACCTCGCAAGCAGCAAGCATTCAGCGGAACTTACCACAAAGTTAACTTTAGTCCTTGAAGGACCGCGAAAATATGCAAGGAAGTGAAGCTCGATACGACGTGGACGGTGATGCAGTGATGCATAACGTCCCGCAACCAGTGTTCGAGTTCGTCCAAGCTCCCAAGTTGACCGACTGGAGCCAGGTGGCTGTTGTCAGTCGGAAGAAGAGATGGGAGCAGTACGTTGGTATTGTTCATTAACGTTGTACTGAGAGTGGTGAGCGACTGGAGGTTGCACTTCGTCCGGTGAAGACTTGTGTTGACCCGGAGCTGCTTGAAGTACTTTGTCTCTATGAACTCCGTAAGGCCGTCGATGATGTAACCAACACGGAATTGGTTGCTCTGATTGACGCAAAGCTTGGGTCCGTGAAAAACGCCCAGGTGCACGATCTCGATGATTTCTTCTCGCAGCAGTTGAAGGTCGACCTCCGTGAGGACGACATTGACGCTAGAATTCTCAAGTATTATCGGGACTTCGCAACGCTCATCAAGGAGAACGGACTTAGCAAGATCCTTGGAGTGGGTGACCCAGCCGACAGTGGATACAATGACCGCATGAAATTGCAATGCACGGTACTCATCGACAACTTGGAGCCAAAAATGCTCCGGGACGACGTTTGTCAGCACGTAAAGTACGAATGTCGAGAAGCTAAGCGAAATGACTTTATGCTGTTCGGAATCATCAAAGAGAAAGTACGTGCACAACATAAATACCACGTGTTAGCACAAGAGCAAAAGGTCAAATCGATTTTTTCTAAGAAAGAGAAGACGACCGATCGTAACATCAAAGCAGTGCCAAGGCCGAAGCACACATGAATGCAAGGCAGTTCCGTCGGCTCGAATAGCAAGACTGGTGGCCTGGGTAGCGGTACTAAACAGCACGCGCCGAAGAGGGAAGCACCTCCACCAAAGACCGGCTGCTGGCACTGTCAGGAACCTCATTGGCTGCGCGACTGCCCCGTGGCCAGCGAGGATGACAAGACTCGGGCCACAGAGAAAATGAAAAAGGTTCGGGAGCTGTCACGTGGACGTGTGGAGAAAATTGGAGTGATACCTGCGCCGGGTGAAGTCTTGGTGAATAACCTACTGACTATCCCGTACTTGGCTGATACGGGTTCGGATGAGACGTATTTGCCTCGCCAATACCTGGAAGAGCTGGTTAGCCTTGGGGCAGACCTGGATGTGGTGGAACAGGCCGGTGTGGAGAAGAAGCGTGCTGCAGGGGGAAATATCGTGGAATGTCGTGAAGCTGTGACCTTGGACTTGCTTCTGCAAACTGTTGCTGGGCAGGTACATTTGTCTGAAGTGTACTGTAAGGTGATGGAAGGTCTTGAAACATACTTCATTCTTGGTAACGACACTTTGAAAACCCTGGGCATTGATATCAAAGACCAATTATCGCAGCTTGCGGCTGGACCTCCCGTTGCAGATGAAGACCCGTTCGATCTGGAGATTCCAAAGGTGCTGCCTCCCAGTGAGGTACACACAAAGTTGGAGAAAATGGTGGTGGCTGCCGGTGATAACGGGTTTGACAAGGAATACTTAAGGTTTCTTCGGGACACTGTACTGGAACACGAAGATGTGTTTCGTGTAGACTTACTTGACGATCCACCGGCAGATGTGGAGCCATTACGCATTACATTAAGAGCCGACGCTCAGCCTTTCCGGGCGCGGCCACGCAGATACTCTCCTGCGCAGAGTACGTTCCTTCGACAACACGTTCAAATGTTAGAGAAAATGGGATTTAGTTACCGCAACAACATGAGTCTGTGGGCTTGCCAGTCCCGAAGGTTGGACGGCCGAACGAATTCCGTTTGACGGTGGATTACCGACCTGTTAACGCAATGACGGTGCCAATCACGGGCACAGGTGCAGACCTGACGTCCTCCTCTAAGAATGTTGCGGGTGCTTACAGATTCGCTGGTTTTGATATGCCAAGTGGTTTCTCACAGCTACCTCTTGATGAAGACAGTAGAGACCCCATGACTTTTATCACCGACGAAGGTGTGTGGACGCCGTGTCGTGTTCCACAAGGGGCGATGGATTCTCCTTTATATTTTCAGAACCAGATGAACTCCGAGTTTGAGGACATGCTTCGCACGCACCTATTGATCTAAATAGACGACATTTTGTTGTATGCGCGCTCACCTAAGGATTCCATCGAAGCACTTCGCTGCTTCTTGGCTCGGGTACGCAGGTTGAAATTGAAACTCAGCGTGATGAAGAGTTTTCTTTTCCGAAAAGAAGCCAAGTGGTGTGGCCGTGTGTTCAATGGTGTCGGCGTGTATCATGACCCCGAACGGCTCATTGGCCTTTGCCAGCTACCCCTTCCGTCTACTGCTGCCGACTTTCAATAATTTCTCTGTGCAACCGACTGGATGCGTGACTCGCTCATGGACTTCAGCCGTGTGATGTGGCCTCTGCACGACAAATTAGAAGCAGTGTTGAAGGTGGTTGGGCGAACTAAACGACTCGCTGCCGGAGCGGACATCACGTGGAGTGTCGAGGATACGACTGCCTTTGAGGCTGCTCGTCGGCTGCTCACCACATCTCAAGCCCTACACTATCCGTCGCCGGACGCGTCGATCGTGCTGATGTCGGACGCATCGGAGCATGGGTGGGGGCTGGTCGTCACACAGGTCCGTGAGTGGCTTGAAGGGGTGAAGGTGACCGGCCAACAGCATGAACTGCTGATATGCAAGAGCGGAAAGTTTGATGATACTGCGAAACGTTGGAGTATCATTGAAAAAGAGGCCTTCCCCATAATTTTGGCGTCTCATAACCTTACATACCTGCTCGTTCGTGGCAATGGGTTCCGACTCTACTGTGATCACAAGAATCTGGTGTACGTGTTCGTTCCAGACACGTCGCCGGCGGCGTGTCCAGCACTTCAGTGCCCATACCGCGCTCTAGTAAAATAGGTTCAAACGGGGTTGGTCGTGGTAGTGAGAAACTAGACCAACTGCGTGCAAGCCTGGCTGGCTTGCACATAAAGGTGGTAGACCAGCGCGAAAAGCGACGTCTGCAGAATATGGCTCGGTCAAAGGGGACCGAGTGCAATTTCAGCGTGGGTGATTTCGTACTATGGTCGCGTATCGACTCCCGACTTGCCGTTATCAAGCTTTTAGCTCGATGGGTGGGACCATTTGAAGTCGTCGACACGGCACCCCACTCGTTCAGGATCCGTCACCTAGTGACGAACAAGCACTACGTAGTGCATGGTTCGCGGCTTAAATTCTACGCGGACTCTAGTCTAGAAGTCGGCGAGGAGTTACTGGCTCATGTTGGCAACCAGGGCATGGTCCTCGGAGTCGAGAAATTCACCAGTCACCGTAAGGAAAGCAACGCATGGCAGCTTTTGGTGTCGTGGGAAGGATTGCAGGATGAAGAAGACTCGTGGGAACTGCTGGCAGCGCTCCTCAAGGACGTACCTTCACGTGTGGAGCAATATGTACACTCCAGTGGCGACACCATGCTTGTACGTGCCTACAATGCTCTGGTGCAATCTAGCTCCAAATAATTCGACCGCTAGTAGGTATTATGGACCAACTTCAACGTGTTGAAGTGCAACTTGACCGGTAACACCGCCCCGTCTCATAGATGACCTGTCTACCCCCGATGGTGACAAATGTCTATCAAGGATGAGGGATTTCTATAGGTGGACCGTTTCTATTGGTTTATTATCGGCGTCAAGTTTTTATTTCTACATATTCATCATAAATGTCGTCTTGGGAGGCAGTGTAGGCAAACGCACAGCCTACATTGCATCTCCAGATGCAACGAGGCTATCTGGAATTCAGACGACAACCACACCCATGGCGAGAACTGCAACCCCTGACGCCGGACGCTCGGATCCAACCAATGCCAGCACTAGAAGCAAGCAGGGTGTTAGGTAGCTGTAGCTAGCTCGTATCACTCTCACAATTGCATTTACCTCGCAAGCAGCAATCATTCAGCAAAACTTACCACATAATGCCACAACGATTCAGATAGGTGGTACTACATTTACAGCTTCTGCTACCCAGCTTAACTGTACTGCGATTACTACAGCAGAAGCGGCTCAGGCTTCTAAATGTATCATCTTAGATGCTAGTAGTTGTATTCGAGGAATCATCTCTTACGAAGACAGCTATGATGAGTTCATATGCAATGCTATTGAGAAGAGACCGGATACAGGTGGTGCTGCTACTGGTTTAGCTATTGGTGCTACTATATCATCGATTGGTTCAACAACACCTGGGTTTAGTATTCTATTTACGAATACAGTTGGCGCAGGGACCTTTGGTATTGGTTATACAGCATTTAATTAAAGAACAAGCTCAGCCCTTTCAACTACCCCCTTAACTGGAATCATGTGTATCTCTTCAGCTGGATACATTGGTATTAATCAAAAATCCCCAGCCTTCCCTCTAGATATCATCGGAGCCGTAAATGTAACAGGTGGTGATATCACAGTCGATACGTCACATAAAGTGAATGCCTTCATTGGTTATGCAACTCAGAGCACTATAACAACAGTAGGTACACGTACAGACTGCGGAATTTGGTACTACATGTACTTATCCAGTTGATAGTTATCTACTGATCACTGGATCTGGTATAGATAATTTAGATGGATCATATACCCGCTGCTGTATATTTACTGGCAGTAACGCTACGCCAGTATCAGGCATCGTTGAAATTCATAATGGAACGAATACAACCTCTAGCAATGCCATGTTTATAGGTACAGATACATCAAATGATCTCAAATTTGGCACGGGAAACTCTACTAGAATGATCATTTCAGGAGGGGCAAAGTCGGCATCAGTACCACTTCTCCTCTATATGGTCTTTATTGTGCTATTACGGTATCTACAACCCTTGACGCAGGCGCTACAGGCGTTGCTTATTCCAAGCAATCAGGAGGTCTGATTAGTACTGTAGGACCTATCTCATCAGTTCCAATCACTATAGCCTGTGCTGGTACATATGCTTAGCTCTACAGCTTACTACACATACTCCGATGCTCGTTTGAATAAAAACTTTGAACCAATTGAAGAAGATGTTTGCGAAGCCTTATTAAAAGTGGAACCGTGGTATTTTAATTATAAGAACGACGAAGAGGGATCTCCGATGAAAATTGGATACTGCGCTCAATCTTTACCGAAGGCAAGATTGTTTCAATGCATAAATATCGTCGATAATCCTAACCTTGATGTAGAGGATGATTCAATCGATTTACCTGGAAAACAATTCTGTGTCGATTATAGCAAGATGAGCTGTCTACTCCATAAGCTCGCGCTCCGTCAGCAAAGGCAAATAAATGACCTTATTGAGCGAGTAAATGAGCTAAAATCCTGATGGATTGAATCGCAGGCTTTAGCCGGAGATGAAATTCATCTCCATCTGAGCGTTCGCTCAAAAGAGCCCTTCGGGCTCCGGGCGGGGGCTTCGCCCCGCGCCAGAAAAATGTATCTAGGCTTGCTTACAGAGCAAATGTCTTTGGTTTTTTTTTCGCTTCGGCTGATACGCCCAAACTCGGCCTCCAGCTACGGCAATTGTCTGAGTCGATACTGACTTCGTATCGTATGGCTTTGAGTCAGATGTCCACCGTTGGACGTTCTTGGTGAGGAGATTCCTTGATGATGAGATCCTTCATCAAGCTTTTGAG